GGCGGGTGCGCGCTCACACGGCTCTGACAGCTCCGCTCGGTCTCCCCTTAAAATAGGCTCATTAAAATAATAATAATTTTTTAAAAACCCAGATGTGCTGCGGGGGAAGCGTGCCCCGGAACCCCCATTTAATCACCCTGCTCCTGAAAAGCAGAGCACGAAATGCCGTGTAAAGCCCTGCCCGGAGCCCCCGAGCCCGTCCTGCAGAAGTTGGTCTGTTTGTGGTAACACCTTTTTGCATCGTTCTATCCAAAAGGTTCTGATGATGTTTCGAGGCAGAGAGAGCTTTTTTCTTTTTTTTTTTTTTTTTTTTTTTTTTTTTTTTTTTTTGCTAAGGTTGACACACATCTTACAACATCATGTCTTTGATGAGCACACACGGTGTTAATTGAGGTTGCCATGGGAGGCATGCACGTAGTATAAATAAGCTCCCTTCTTGCCATGTGATTTTCGCTTTTGTATTCCTCAAGCCTCCTTTTTGTATTCTCTGTTTTTGCATATTGTCATATGGTGCATTAAAGATAAAAATATCTGCTGTCTCAGGGTGTAATTTCCCTAGCTGGAACTATAAGTGCATATGGAGAAGTGGGGAAAGGATTTAGCAAACCGTAGGAGAAGGAAATATGTGTGTGCCTGTGTAATAAGTATTCCTCATAATTTGGGCAGTTATATTAAAAAAGTCCCTTTTTATCACAAAAAATACCAAAATAGTACTTTCTGTGACGGAACATCACTGGGTTGACATCTTGTGGCCTTATTTTGCCTTTGGATATTGATGCTAATTAGTGAAAAAAAAACCTGTTATAGTGCATCCAGCCCTGGTCTGCCTCCCAAAATGAAATATTTAGGGAGAAAAAACTTTTTAGTACTTCTTAAAAATTTCTCTACGGGTCTTATCACTCATTTATTGTGTTCCAGATAAAAAGATGAAAGCCTCGGTCATGCTTTGCAGCAAATTTCATGTAACATACAAGGGGAACTGAAGCAGAAACCAAAGCCAAGGCAAAGCAGCATCTGACCTTGTCACTGGGGGGCAGAAAACAGCCGCTGGTTCCACTGGTGCTTCAATCAAGCTCCCTGGGCAATGTGGAATTGCAGAGAGCTCACAAAGTGCAAGTTCCTTCCAGGTCCGTGGGGTGAATAAAAATTGTTAATTCTTGGCTTGATTTGTCATCCTTTGGGGGCAAAAAAAGGTATGTCAGACTGGCAATTATACAGTTAGACCGAGCACAAGTGGAAGTGGGTTGCTCCGGAGATGAGAGTGACTGAGGCCAGCAAAGCCAAGGAGAAGCCTGTTCAACTCCACATCTACCCGGGATTCCTTGGAGAGGTGATAAAGTGAGTAATAAGGAGAAGTGGGAGTTATAAAGTGAATGCGACAGCTCCAGCAGAACTTCTTCTCACTGCCACATACGCTTGTTACAAAGCAACTAATGTTATTTGGAAATCTATTTGAGGAGAAAATGCACTTTGAGCATCTCTGCAGTTCTTGTGTCTGAAGCATTGATCAGGAAAATCGGCAGCACAACGCCAACAAAGGAAAAGAGAATATGGTGAAGGCAGCTAAAGAAATTCAAATGGAGAACCCAAGAGAGGCAGAGACTCCCAGCACAGGGGCCACATGTTCCCCACCAGAGGAACAAGCGAAAAAACCCTCTATGCTCTGTTTTAAGAAGCAGAAGAAGTCCTGTAAGAAGGGGCTGACTGCGAAGGATGCGTGCGAAGGAGCCTCAGAAGAGAAAAGCCAATGTGTCAGCGCTGACCAAGAGGAGGCAAAAGCTTCCAATCCATCACGATCCTCCAAAGGGACTTGGGCAGCCATCAAAAACCTTGCCAAACCTCGGAGAAGGCAGAAGTCCTCCTCACGGAAGAAGGTGCCCTCTGATTCCCAAGTGCAGCTGGAGGTGGATGCTGAGGAGAGCTGTGCGCGAGACCTCCCAAAGAAACGGGCGAGCTCTGGGGTGAAGATGCCCTGTGTGAGATTCTCCAGAGGCAAGAAAAAACCCAGCCCCTCAGAAGCAGTGGAGGAGTCAGAGGGCAGTGTTCAAGCAAATGAAGTGATGGGTGTTGTGAATAAGGCTAGTGAAGAGCCAGAGGATTTGGCCCCGACGGACAAATCTGAACCCTTCAGCCCAGTCTCTGCACAGGAGGAGCGGGATACGGTGAAGCAGGAGCAGCATAGAATGAAAGAGGACAAGGACATAATGAAAGAGGATCAGGATACAGTGAAGGAGGACCAGGATACGGGGAAGGAGGACCAGGATACAGTGAAAGAGGACCACGATACAGCAAAGGAAAGTGACACCTCTGTGGGGAAGAGTGAGCCCTTGACAGAGCCCACACGTGATGCAGAGGAACACTCAGAGTGCACTGTTCAGTTGGAGATAACCCATTCAGAGACAGTTGATGAAACAGCCCAGGACAAACTGCAGGAAGGGAGCCTACCCCAAATCACCAACGATGCAGAGGGCAGGGAAGTTGCTCCTGAAGCACCTGTTCCTAAAGACCAACCTGACATCCCTGAAATCACAGAGTGGCAGGAAATCCCTAATACCTGCAAAGAGATGCCTGAAAGGGATGAACTGGAAAAGAGCATAAATCTTCCCAAGGAGTGCAAAGCCGAGGAGTCTGTAACTGATTTCAGTCAGTTGGCATCTGGAGGTGATGCAGCAAATGTGCAGGAGGCAGTGAGTGTGCAGGATGTAGTGAGTGTGCAGGATGTAGTGAGTGTGCAGGATGTAGTGAGTGTGCAGGATGCAGAAAGTGTGCAGGATGCAGTGAGTGTGCAGGATGTAGTGAGTGTGAAGGATGTAGTGAGTGTCCAAGAGGCAGCGAATGTGCAGGATGCAGTGAGTGTGCAGGATGTCACAAGTGTGCAAGATGCCACGAGTGTGCAGGATGTGGCAAGTGTGCAGGAGGCAGTGAGTGTGCAGGAGGCAGCAAGCATGCAAGATGCCACAAGTGTGCAGGATGTCATGAGTGTCCAAGAGGCAGCGAATGTGCAGGATGCAGTGAGTGCACAGGTTGCAGAGAGTGTGCAGGAGGCAGTGAGTGTGCAAGAAGCAGCGAGTGCGCAGGATGCAGTGAGTGCACAGGATGCAGTGAATGTGCAAGAAGCAGTGAGTGCGCAGGATGCAGTGAGTGCACAGGATGCAGTGAGTACACAGGATGCAGTGAGTGTGCAAGAGGCAGTGAATATGCAAGAAGCAGTGAGTGTGCAGGATGCAGTGAGTGCACAGGATGCAGTGAGTGTGCAGGAGGCAGTGAGTGTGCAAGATGCAGTGAGTGTGCAAGAGGCAGTGAATGTGCAAGAAGCAGCAAGTGTGCAGGATGCAGTGAGTGCACAGGATGCAGTGAGTGTGCAGGAGGCAGTGAGTGTGCAAGATGCAGTGAGTGCACAGGATGTATCAAGTGTGCAGGATGCAGTGAGTGCACAGGATGTATCAAGTGTGCAGGAGGCAGTGAGTGCACAGGATGTATCAAGTGTGCAGGAGGCAGTGAGTGTGCAGGATGCAGTGAGTGCACAGGATGTATCAAGTGTGCAGGAGGCAGTGAGTGCACAGGATGTATCAAGTGTGCAGGAGGCAGTGAGTGTGCAAGAGGCAGAGAACGTGCAAGATGCAGTGAGTGTGCAAGAGGCAGTGAGTGTGCAAGAGGCAGAGAATGTGCAGGTTGCAGCAAGTGTGAAGGGTGCAGCAAGTGTGAAGGATACAGCAAGCGTGCAGGACGCC